TGCCGGAATAAACTACCTTTCTTGGCTTTTTGTATCTGCAGTGGCTGCTGACTTTTTTCCTCTTAAGGTTGAGCGACCTCTCATGTGAAGAGCTGCTTCTGAAAACCTGCCAGGGGATCAGCTCTAGGTCGGTTCTGAGTCTACAATAACAACATCAAATCTTTCTCAATTAACCGTAGATACAGAAGCCAAAGGTCATGATAGAATTTTCTTTTCCTTACCAATTTGTTAGACAGTGGTGGAGGTGTCCATGGGAAGAGAAGGGGACAGAATGTTCATGTTGTGGTCAGAGCCGGGATGGTTGTTGTTGTGTGCCATTGAATCGTTTCCGACTCATAGTGACCCTATGTACAAGAGCCCTAAATGCCGTTCTATCCTGTGCCAACCTAGCTATCTCAAACACACTCATTCCCACCATTCCACTCACAGAATCGATTCTTCTCATCAAGGATCTTCCTCTCCTGCGCCGTCCCTCCATTCTCCCAAACATGATGTCCCTCTCCAAGGACCAGTTCCTCCTTACAACATGCCCAAAGTGTGTCAGACGAAGCTTCAAAATCCTTGACTCCAGGGAACATTCTGGCTTCACCCTTTCTTTCCAGGATGAATCTGTTTGTTTTCCAAGCAGTCCATGGTATATTCAACACTCTTCTCCGGCACCACAACTCAAAGGCATCAATTCCCTTTCTATCATGCCTATTCACTGTCTAACTCTCCAACGCATAGTACGTAATTGTAAAGACTATAGCTTGGATCAGGTAAGCTGCATAAAATGAGGCAGGGAGGGGTGGAAAGAATATTAAAGTAGACACTAATGAAATGGTAGGTAAGAAGCTTATGTTGAAGGCAAAAGTCAAGTAAAGAAGCTAAGATCAGATCCTATCCAATCAGAGCCAAGGACCAGGCAATAGGAGAACCTCAGAGCTTGAAGGTCCTGATAGGTGCAATAAAGAGCATTCCCAAAGCAAATTTATTCAACTAGTGACATCAAGAACAACAGATCGGAGTAAGAACTTCACTAGACTTTGAAATTCTAGAGACATCATTCCCATTGGCCCAGATCTAAGTCCTAAAGCCTGCCCAAATGAGGGAGTAAGCTAAATATATTAATCTATGACCCAGTGCATAGGTTTTCAGAGGCCTGCTATTTTGGAAGTAGATGGCCAATCCTTCTTCCTGTTGTTGTTGTTGTTATGTGCTGTCGAGTCACTTGCAACTCATAGCGACCCTATGTACAACAGCCCTAAAGTCTGCTCTTTCCTGTGCCAAGAGGGACTGATCCTTGGAGAAGGACATCATGTTTGGAAGGGTGGAGGGACAGGGCAAGAGAGGAAGACCCCAGATGAGATCGATTTACATAGAAACTGGGACAATGGGGGTAGGTGTGTCAGAGTCAGTGAGACTAGCTCAAGACAAGGAAGGCTTCAGAGCTATTGTATATAGGTTTGCTATGAGTTGCAGGTGACTTGTCAGCACATAACAATGACCCTGATTTGAATATTAGTTATATTCTTAATTTTACATATTATTATTTCTGAGGAAAAGACTTAGGTGTGTATGCCTCAGACATAAGGATATGGTAGAGAGTAGGAAATAAAATTGATTTTGTTTCTTCTAAAACCTAGAAAAGTAAAATATCTTTCCTTTATGATTATTTCCTGAAATGATGAAAAAAGGCAAATAAGATGATTCTTCTCTTACCCAAAGTGCATCTTCTTGCCTATGTAGTCAATTCGGATATATCACAACATTATGGGACAAAAAGGATTGCCTTGTACAATTGTCTCTGATTTTTTAAAAATTAATTTTAATGAAAGTTTACAGAGACTTAGGGATTCCATTCATTCATAGTTGTACTTTTCTCCCTACCTACCCTTCCCCCTAATTCAATCTTCTCCTTGAAAAGTTAAACTCCTTCATTGTTATACAATCATGGTTCTTATTTAGGATTTTGAGTTACATAAAGTAACAAATTACTTTCTGTCATTAAATGTTCTTTCCCTCTTTTATTTCACTTATGGAACTTAGAAGAATGTCAAGTTATTTGCTACAGTTTATGTGCTATCTGAAAAAATTTAAATAAATAGATAAACAATAAAACAACCACTGTTTACAAATGCAGAGAAGACCTGAAGGGTTTATTTTGACTTTTAAAGTCAATAAACCTCAGTGAATTTCCTTTGTAGTACCCAGAACCATGAAAAACTGAAAGGCAGAACTCAGTGTGAAATTAATTGGATTGCAGAGAGTTGAACAATGCTAAGTATTAATCATTTTTACCCGCACGACTCCTTAGTTTAGGCACTCGAAAGATACTTTATGATTACAGTATTTTATTGCTATATAATTGTATTAATGTAAAACTAATCCAAGAATAGTAATAATTCACTCTGCATTCCAATATTTAATATCAATAGGACATAAAAAGGAGATATATGGGTAAATATATCTTAAGAATGATACATAAAACATGAATTTACAGAAGTTGCCATGCTGATCAACGAAATTGAATTAATCTTGTTTAAACAAATCTTGAAAATAGAAACAGAGTCTAAAAACCCGAGTTACTGTATTCACATTTTTGTTTATGAAAAGAGACAATATAGATTTACTAGCGAAAATGAGCTGAATTACTAGTTTCATAAGAGTTAATTGAGTATGTAGCAATCTACTTAGGAAGACTGTTTAATTCTTCATGCAACATCTCCTCACTAAACACTAACTGAGCAATTAAATTGCTGTTGTTGAGTATCATTGTCATTGGAACCAACCCATAACCCAACCTCCAATCACTTTACAGAGACAGCATAAAGCAAGGGAAGATATTACTCATCCTTCTTCCAAAGAGGAACTGGCGGATTTGAACTGCGTGCCTTTGGGATTGCAGTGCAGTGTCCCACTACTAGGCCAAATTGACACTAATCCTCAGAGCACTTACAATTTAGTAAAAAAGTTAAAGAAAGAAGCAAACGCAAAAGATAGGCAGAAAAAACTGACAAGGACATTGAGAAAAAGAAAAGACTTAGTTGATTATATGATGAACAACATTATGGGAAAAGTTTTGTGATAAAAGGTAGATCTTTTTAAGTGCACTGTAATTAATCAGAATAGAGTTAGTACCATCATTTTTGCATTTACCAAAATCATTATGCACATATAATTATTACTCACAAATTACAATTCTACCAGTGAAACATGACTTGTGTAAACAATTTCAAGGGGACTAATGTTATCTCAAGGGTTATTGTCTGATAATGCTTCAGGGACAAGTTCCCCAAGGTTAACCAGTCAGTTATAAATATTCCCCTTTGGAAAACCTTTCAGGAGACTAAGCAAACAATATTCATCCATAGGTAAGTATGGCAGTCTTGAAAATTAAAAAAAATAAATTATTTGACTTATTACACTTTCTTCTTTTGCCATTTAAAGTGACATTAATATTCATTATAAAATATGTTATTCTAACCCACAACCCAGGATGTCTCATTCTAGCATCACACAAAAATTAACTGGTATTACATTAGGCAAACATTGCAATCAATTCTGACCTTAGTTATGGAAACATCAGTCACAACACAGTAGAGATAGAATGTGAACTTACATTACAGGTGGTGTTTGGTGAATTCAGTGATCAAAATGTCCATAAATTACACTTTTGCTTTTAACTTAGCTTGACCTTCATCAAACCTTAAACTTTGGAATTTGGCTCAAGAAAAGCTGTATCCACTCTAATATACCTTTAGTTGTTTCATAAATTTATTAAGAGGAATATAGAAGATTTGGGGTAGGGTGATATAAAGTTGACAATGAGAAGGGAAAAGATGAAATTCTAATACCTTTCCTTTTCCATTTGAGAAACCCTCTCTTTCATTTCTCCAATCCAGACTTGCACTGGAAAACAATGCATTGCTCTCCTTGGGGTCAACAGGACATGCTCTTCCAGATTTGTTCATGATTACCTATTTTTTTTTTCTATTTTATTTGCATCCTTTTCAAACACGGCTAAGGTTTATTATCAGTCTTGACTGAAGTATCATACTCACCCAGAAAGAGATAAAAAATTCTCCACTGTTTTAGCTGATTTGTTGGTTTCTTCTCTTGCACCATGCATAGATCTTTAACCTTTATTTACCCTAAGCATATCAGGATTCTTGGCAATAAGTATATGATTTAAACTAGAATGGCGTGTGCTTTCAATCTTTAAAATGTTTTAATGTCTTTATTTCTCCTATTTTTCCACTCTTTGTTTGGAAGGAGCCAGTAACACTGTGTGAAGAGTCAATAACTTGAAAGGAAGAGGCTGTCCACCTAAAAGGGTTTCTTGGTATTTGGGAATTTGTTATGTGATGTGCAGCTAAACATTTCTTGGGCTCCATTCAGCACCATCGGTCTGTGATTATATTTTTTTTAAAAATCTGATCCGTTTAACAGGTAGAGGCAAAAACACATTACTTTTCTTTACCTAAAACAAAACTATACCTAACTTTCTACTTTCCTATTTTGTGCCTTTTAATGATCTTTCTAAATTCAAATACTAGATCTGTCTTATGCAGGCTAAGACAGTTTCTCAATGCCAAAAGTACTCAAGAGAGGATTATGGAGGCTATCAGGATCATTCTCTCTTTTCAAACTTTCTGAAATCATCAGAAAAGTTTAAGATCTGAAGTCAGAGGTTGGGTGTGCCCCTGAGGCGGGCCAGGCTTATATCTAATCATCAATCACTATTACCAAAAGTTCCACAAATGATTCCAAGATGAAAGTAATGTTACTGATAAGTATTTACCCACATATTTGAAAAGCAACATTCATTCTAAATATTGGGATACTTTTCTATGCCCCAGAGCTTTTAGAGGTTTAAAGGTAGCTCATTCTTTTGTCAACTTCTACCTTATTTCCAATAGTCAACTTTGCAATCCCTAAGCACCAGTTACAGAAGTGTCATGACAAATGCAGTTATGCTTGTTAGAACAAACTTCTAATCGATAGCTCTTTATCTAGCTATGTTCTCTCCTGTTTAAGGAAGATAAAGGTTTTACTCAACAGATATGAATATAGTAAAATTAAATATCATTATTTTCAATTTAGAACTGACTCATAGCTGGCCCTCTTGTGGGCTTTTGAAGGCTGTCAATTGCAGGAAAGGAGATTGTCCATCTTTCTCCCATGGAGATACTTGTGGATATGAACCATCGGAAAGGTGCCATCTTTGAGTTAGGACGCCTCTCTACACACTATGATATGTTTAAAAACAAAGAAAAATCTGCAAACCATGCAAATTTAAATGTTGTGAGCTGTCAAAGTTATTTCATTGTCAAAATTATTTCATTTGACTAATGTCTCCTGAATAAATTTCAGAAATATAGTATAAATATAGCTAGAGACTTTTCTTTGATGTAGATAACATTCTACTGGTGGATATAAACAAGAAACATGTTTTTGTTGTTGTCATCAAGTCGAGCACGATTCACAGCGACCCTATGAACAAAAGACCTGAAACCGTTCTATAACTATCATCATTTCTCAAAGTTCATAGGGTTTCCAGAGGCATGTTTAGGAAGTGGATGCCACTCCTGCTTCCAATAAACATATAAGCAAAAATTAATTTCAGAAAGTGATATACGGAAAAAAATTATGGTTTATTATTACAGAGTAATTTGGGGTGGAGTTAACTTAAGTGGCCAAATAATACTTTTCAGTAGAGATGTTAGTAAAAAAGTCATATTGAATAAAATGATTCATTTGGAATTGCTGGTAGGGACATAAAATGCTATAACCACTAATGAAGGCAGTTTGGCACTTCGTCAGAAAGTTGAAAATATAAATACCTTTTGAACCAGCTACCCCACCACTGGAAATACACACACAGGCGCACACACACGTGTGTGTGTGCGTGTGTGTGTGTGTGTGTGTGTGTCTCAGAGCTATGACACAAACATATGTATTCACATCCACATTTATTGCAGCATTATTCAAAAGAGCAAAGAGGTGGAAGCAGCCCAGTGCCATTAACAAATGGTTAGAGAAACTGTAGTACTTCCACACAATAGAATATTCTGCAGCACTGAATTCATAAAACACCACACAACATGGATGAGTCTGGAAAATATTATGGTAATTGAAAAAATCTCAGTCATAAAAGGTCAAATATTATATAAGAGCACTATTATAAAAATAGGATGGATATGGGGGCAGAGGAAGCAGAACAGGGAAAAAATGGGTAGATAATGAACACTACACTGGAATAGGAAAAGGGAAGAACAATCTGAAAGGAACTGACAACAGGTCATTCAATGTATGACAATTAAAAATCTGAAACGAGACAAGCGTTGGAAAGTGTGTTTGGAGAGGGACGGGAAGGGAATTGTGTGTGAATGAACAAATAAAAGCCAATCTCTTGGTAAATTTTCACTAAAACCACAATAAATTTTTAAAGAGTCTAGGAAGTGAAGATTTGAGAAGAGTGTTCATCAATCCCACAGACCTATTGACAGCAATGGAAAATCATTGAAGTAGAAATTCATGGAAATAGAAATGTTTTAAATGTAGAGTTTTTAATTCTTATTGTGAAGATAGATTAGATAGATAGATAGATAGATAGATAGATAGATAGATAGATAGATAGACAGACATAGATAGAAACTTTTACATCTTAACCATTATTAAGTGCTCTCCAATAATGTAAATTGCACAGTACCACCAAAAAAAGTATGCATCAATATCCCCTCCATAAGCCCGGTCAGCCACTTATCTACTCATTTGTCTAGTATGCATATTTCATGTAGATAGGACCACAAAATATATCCTGTTGTTCCCAGTTTCTTTCACCTAGCACGTGCTTTAAAGGTTTACCTGTGTTGCAGCATTTTCAGTAGTTCAGTTTTCTTTATGCCTCAGTCATATTCCATGGTATGTTCCTGCCATGTTCTAGTTCTCTATTCTTTGGTAGATGAGCGTCTAGGTTCTTTTTACCCCTGACAACTGGGAGTGCTACGTAAGTGAACTTGGAAGTAAGAGTAAGTAACATTTAAAACATCTTTCAAACCAACATATTTCCATGTTCGTTCATTTTTGCTCATTTTGCTGTTGCATGTAACATGTTTCTCTTGTTAGCCATACCAAATTATTCTTCTCTTTTTTAAAGAACATGAAGGTACAGATTATTCCAAAACAGAATGCCACTCAAGCGACCGAGTTCATCCTCCTGGGACTGGGCAGTCAGCCAGAGCTGCAGCCCCTCCTCTTTGTAATCTTTCTTTTGATTTATCTTGTCACCCTGACTGGGAATTTGGGGATGATTTTCCTCATCCGCATCACTCCTCGACTGCAAACCCCCATGTACTTTTTCCTCACACACTTAGCATGTGTGGATATCTTCTATTCCACGAATGTCTCTCCTCAAATGCTGGTTAACTTCTTATCAGTGAGAAAAACCATCTCCTACACAGGTTGTCTCGCACAGTGCTTCATATTTGTGACTCTGCTCCTGACCGAGTACTACATGCTCGGTGCCATGGCCTATGACCGGTACATGGCCATCTGCAAACCCCTGCACTACAACAGCAGGATGTCTAAACCCGTTTGCATTTGTCTGGTCACCTTTCCCTACTTGTGGGGCTCGATGGTGGGCACAATGCAGGTGATACTGACCTCCCGTCTGTCCTTCTGTGGCCCTAACACCATCAACCATTTCTACTGTGCTGATCCGCCTCTCCTCATGTTGACATGCTCCGATACTTACATCAAGCAAACTGCCTTGTTTGTGTCTGCAGGCATTAACCTCACAGGTTCTCTGCTCATAATCCTCATCTCCTACGTTTTCATTTTCGTCACTATTCTCAGGATGCGCTCCACAGAGGGGCAGCGCAAAGCCTTTTCCACCTGCGGCTCCCACTTGACGGCTGTCACCATGTTTTACGGATCTCTCTTCTGCATGTATCTGAGACCAGCAAATGAGCAGTCTGTTGAGCAAGGGAAGATTGTGGCAGTGTTTTGTATATTTGTTAGTCCCATGCTCAACCCATTCATCTACAGTCTGAGGAACAAGGACGTGAAACAAGCTTTGACAAGAGTGTTTAGGAAAAATATTGGGAAAATGGAGAAAAGTTCCGTTTCTGCTGTCTCCTAATGAACAGGAAAGCCTCACACCAATAATCTCCTTTCTACGCATTCAGCATAAACACAATTCTCTATAATAAAAATAATTTTTAAACATACATAATTTGCAATCAACTGACATCATCATCATAATTAATTGAAGACTGATAGAAAACACAAGAGCAAAATTCAGCTTTTTATGAGAAACAGGATCCTGGTGTTAGCATAACTCAGAATTAACTTCTTGCACTGCAATCCCAGAGGTACATGGTTCGAATCCACCAGATGCTCTGCTGGAGAAGGAGGGGCAATCTCTTCCTGTACCAGTCAGATCCAGTTTGACGGTACACACACAAAAAAATAATAAACTTTTAAAAAAATCACTTCTACCTGATTAGTTAGCAACTATGTTCTTAATTTCACTCCCACTCGTAGATGCTGTTGAAATATTTCCAACTCATAATGACCCAAGTGAAATAAAACAAAATATTGTCATCATCTCAATTGCTTGAGTTGCTATTTGATGCTATTGTGTGGTCATTGCGTCAAGCCTTCTCGATAAGAGCCTTACCCTTCTTGCTAACTTTCTGTTTCACCAAGCATGATGTGTTTCTCCAGAGACTGGTTCTACCTGACAAAATATCAAAAGGAAACGTTCATAAGTTTTGCCAACTTCACTTCTTGGAAGCATGGTTCGAAGAAAGAGTTGTTCATTCTTCTGGCGGTCAGGATGGTCACGATTCTTTGCCAACACCATAAATCAAGGCCATTGATTTATCGTTGTTGTTGTTGTTGTTGTGTACCATAGAGTTGGAACCAACCTATAGTTTACCTCAGTTTTCAGAGAGCATTAATGGCTGGGGAGGAGCCTGCCCATCCTTCCCCTAAAGAGGGGGAACTCATGGCCTTGAACCCCATGCCTTCGGGATTGCAGTGCAGCTTTTTGCCACTAGACCACCAGAGCTCCCTCTAATTATCCTTATCTATCATAAAACTTTTCCATTCATATGAGGTAATTGAAATAAGCCACATACCTCAGATCAGGCATACTTTAGTCTTCATTATTCACTCCTTAGTGAATTAGGGAGCTCTGGTGGCCCAGTGGTAAGAAGCCACTCTGCAATCCTAAAGGGACATGGTTCAAATCCGCCAGCTGCTCCATGGGAGAAGGTAGACAATCTCCTTGGTACAATTTACTGTCTCTGAAAACCCGCTGAAGGGTCAGCTATGTGTTGTTTCCAATTCGATGGCACACAACAATGGCACAGCTGTTAATTATTCAGCTGAAAATGAGTGATTTGAGTAAGTCAGCCAGTCTCTCTGTCGAAAAAAGATATACAGTCTGCTTCTCTAATGATTATTGTAATTTAATTTCTCTACTGAGACAACTTATTTCAACTCATGCTGTCAAGTCACAACCAACTCATAAATGATATATCAGTGAAAGAGATTTCCCATCTTTCACTTGCAGAAGAACTGGTAGATCTGCTTGTTCTCCCTTGAATTAGCAGCACTCTTAAAAAAAAGTTTGCTTAGAAAATCCTATAGGGAAGTTTTGTTTAGAATGTTTATTATTATTTATGTATGCCACCATTTACTTTTATAAAATAATTCATATACATTGTGTCATTTGTACGCATTTTGTTTTATACAATTATTTCTGTAAATTGTGTTTTATATAATTACTATTGATCCATTTACTTTTATCTCCCTGATTCCTCAAGTCCCATTGCACCAGACCTATTACTCCTTCAACTGCTCATCCCCTAATTGCTGTCTGAGTAACTTCCTCTTCCCTTTGCCACACTCCTTCCTTACTCTTTGATAGATAGATAGATAGATAGATATAATAGAGAGAGGTAGAACAGTTACTAGATAAAGAGATAGATAATAGAGATAGAGATGATAGATAGATAGATAGATAGATAACTAGATAGATAAATCTTGTTTCTATCAACTAAGTGCAATAGCCATATCATCTTTATCTCAATACTTCCCCTGTTAATTTTTCCTTATCTTGGTCCTTGCAGTTTTCTTTGTCCACCTATTCCTTTTCCATTCTCTCCCTTCTCCACTCCCTTGTTACCTTCTTTCTCAGTAACGGTCTTATGAGGTATTTGTCCTTTTGTGACTGAATTCTTTCACACAACATAATAGTCTGTATGCTTCCCCATATTGAGTCATATTTTGCAAGTATGTCATTGATTTAATGTTGCATATTATTCCATTGTACGAACATACCACATTTTTAAAAAATTTTCTATTCACTCATTGTTAATGGATATTAGTGTTGTTTCTATTTTCTTGTTATTGTCAATAAAGCTGTTATGAACATAGATGCACATATCTGTTTTTCAGCTATAATTTTCTTGGGCTGTACTCCCAGCAATGGAATGGTTCGAGCCTAGGGGTTGTCTTTGTTCAGTTTAGGGGTTTTGTTGTTTTTGTTTTTTTTTAAGAAACACTAAACTGCCTTCCCCTCTGGAGCAATTTTACTATTTCTCATATTACTGCTTTGAAGCAGAATCAACTCAAGGGTAAAGGTTCAGGTCATAAAGAAGAAGTATCTCTGAAGAATAAGCTTTCTGTTTTTGTCATAAAATCCCATTTAATTCTTTTCAATAAAAGCGAAAGTTTACACAATAGGTTAGGTTCCTATCTGACCCAAGTTGTTCAGTGACATTGGGTACGTTTTTCACACTGCGTCAGGCTTCTATTTAATTGCTTTCTGGTTGTTTCATTTCCTCGGCACAATTCTTACCAGCAAAGTGAACTTATTTACAGTTTCCTGAATTAAAAAAAAAAGAAAGTTAGACATAAAGAATGAAGTATGTGTATATATAATTTCCTTTTTATGAAAGCTGCCTATCATCTGGATAGATGTTTGTAAATATAACTTCCAGCTTGTTTTGTTTTAATATACTTTTGGGCAGTTTCTAAATACAGTTGTCTCAAATTTAAAACATTAAAATTTATGTTATTTCAACAAAGATGGTAGTATTTCATGTTTTTGCCTCAGTGTTTCTTCAACCAATCTAGATTCTTTTCTTAACAGTAGATACTCATTTCTTAGGTTATTCAGTTTTACATATTACTTTCCATTTCTTTTCTATACCCTTACTATTTTAACATAAAACCTATTCTGTGTTGTTATTATGTGCTGTCGAATCGCTCGCGACTCATAGTGACCCTATGTACAAGAGTCCTAAACCCTGCTCTATCCTGTGACAAACTCCAGTGACAGTCTCTGACATACTTACGCCCACAACCCCAATCACAGAATCGATCCATCTCATCAAGGACCCTTCCTCTCTTACACTGTACCTCCACCCTCCCAAACGTGATATCACCCTCTAAGGACCGGTCCTTCCTTACAGCATGCCCAAAGCATGTCAATCGAAGCTTCAGAATCCTTGCCTCCAAGGAGCAGACTGATTTCACTCTCTCCAGGACAAACCTGTTTGTTCTCCTTGCAGTCCATGGTATACTCTTCTCCAGCACCACAGCTCAAAGGCATCAATTTGCTTTCTATCATCCCTAGCCATTGTCCAGCTCTCTGATGCATAGCATGCAACTGCTAAGACTATGGCCCAGATCAGGCACACCTTAGTCTCTAGCCTGACATCATTGCTCCTCAGTGATCTGGAGAGGTCCCTGACAGCTGACTTTCTCAATACAATTCTTTCCTTGATTTCTGGCTCCTAGTACCAAAAGTGTTGATTGTGGAACCAAGTAAACTAAAACTGTTAACAATCTCAATCTATAAAAAATGTTTGTTGTGCTAACTTACAATTAAATTATAGCATTAACCTACTCCAGAATGCTTAATAGTCCTTGAAATTATATTTTTCTGAGATGCAAAATATAACTTAACATTGGCATAAGGCATATCAGTATGTCTTTTTTCATATTTAGGCAATTTTTTTTATTTTGCTTGTAGTAAAATATTAACAAGCACAAATTTGTTTTTTAAGATATATTGTTAAAGTTTTCTAGTAATATTATTTTGTAGTATTTTCTTGAATATATTGATGTGTAAAATCACCATCATTCCTCTTGAAAAGTATCTTTCTGAATAAAAATAAAATTTGTTTTCCAGGTCAAAATGTTGTAAATGTTGTTGTTGTTAGGTGTCATTGTTTAGCGGGTGACTCTGAGCTGCAGTGGTCTAGGCAGCACTTAATGTAATATTATTATGACAAAATCAACTGCCTTTCTTTAGTTATTAAAGCAGCTCCTTTTTGCATTTCTTAAAGGAAACTTACCTTCCTTCTCATCTTCTGTCCCTAAGCACTATTCTGCATGACCTCCATATTCCATATACCTCCTCACCAACAGATCTCTGAATCTCTGTTCACAGAATTGTGTTTGAAAATATGTTTTGTTTTGTTCAAAATTTTTCAATTAATTCACAACACAGATACACTTTATGTATAATCACACTTAATTTTGTTCTCAGTTGTATTCAACTTGAGGACGTTTAAGCATTGCTAAGTGAAACTTGTGCTGTTATATCCGGAGGAACACTTTGCCCATCTTATCCCCACTTTGTACATCACTCTTTGTCAATGCACTGTATTAAGTAACCTGGGTTGCTGTGAAGCTGAACCTTGTGCCTCTGGGGTATCAAATACCAGAATGACTTCCTAATGTGGACAGTGTTTGGTGGATCTTCCAGATATAAAACAGGTTTGGAAACAGGACTGGCATCCACTTCCTAAATCACGTGCCTCTGGAAACTGTATGTACTTGGTGAAATGACAACAGTTATGGAAAGGCATTAGGTCTTTATTTTTTTAGAGTCGCTATGAATTGTGCTCAACTAGATGGCAATAAACAACAATAACAACAACATGTGTGTATTGAACAATCAATAATTTTTATCATTTATGGATAACTAGAAATATAAATATCTTGTGGATGACTGAAAGAATCTGGTGGTGTAGCTTTCATGTAGTTCATAAGAGGCTGCTCTGCTAAGCTAAAGGGCATGCCTCTCTCCAAAGGAGAAAAATGAACAATTTCCTCCTG